GCGTGGGTGTTTTTTTTTTTGGGGGGGGGAGGGGCGCGGGAGCTTCCCACGGGTGGGGGTGGGGCGGGTGGGGCTCCGCGTCGGGGCAGGTCCCGACATGGAGCAGGAACCGCGGCCGTGTCCCCCCCGCGCGGGGCCCGGGACCCCCCCAAAAAGCGACCCCCCCGGCCCCACCCGCTGGGGCATCTGCGGGGCCGGGGCCATCAGCCACGACTTCGTGCTGGCCCTGCAGACCCTGCCCCGCTGCGACCACCAGGTGACACCGGGGACCCCCTTCTGGGGGGCGAGGGCGGGGGGGGGAGAAGGGTTGGGGTCATCCCCAAACCCCCTGGGGGTGGGGGGGCTCGTGGTCCCCTTGGATCCCCCCCCCAAACCCCCCTAAACCCCCTGGGACCCCCCCAGACCCGGCTGAGCTCCCCTACAACCCCCCCCCTGCCCCAAGACCCCCTGATTCCCACATGGGGCAGGGGGGGGGGATTTTGGGGTCCCCCCCCGGAGGAGGGGCCCCCCTCGATGTCCCCCTCTGTGTCCCCCCCTCAGGTGGTGGCCGTGGCCGCCCGGGAGCTGGGCCGTGCCCAGGCCTTCTCCCGGCGCCTCGGGGTGCCCCGAGCCTACGGGTCCTACGAGGAGCTGGCCCGGGACCCCGACGTGGGTGAGACCCCCGGGAGGGGGTTCGGGGTGCCCTGATGGGGTTTGGGGCTGCCCTGATGGGGTTTGGGCTGCCCTGATGGGGTTTGGGGTGCCCTGATGGGGTTTGGGGCTTCTGTGATGGGGTCTGGGGCTGCCCTGATGGGGTTTGGGGTTGCCCTGATGGGGTTTGGGGTGCCCTGATGGGGTTTGGGGCTGCCCTGATGGGATTTGGGGTGCCCTGATGGGGTTTGGGGTACCCTGATGGGGTTTGGGGCTGCTCTGATGGGTTTTGGGGCTGCCCAGATGGGGTTTGGGGTTTTTTTGGGGTGTCCCCCCAAGACGTGGTGTACATGGGGGTGGTGAGCACAGGGGGTTTTTTTTGAGGTCGGAGGGTTTTGGGATCAGTAGGTTTTGGGGTCAGAGGGTTTTGGGATCAGTAGGTTTTGGGGTCAGGGGGTTTTTGGGGTCAGGAGGTTCTGGGGTGCCCTGACGGGGGTTTTTGGGGGGGTTTTTTTTTTGGGTGTCCCCCCCAGACGTGGTGTACGTGGGGGTGGTGAACCCCTCCCACCTGCCCACGGGCCGCCTGTTCCTGGCCGCGGGCCGGGCCGTGCTGATGGAGAAGCCGATGGCGGTCGGGGCCCGCGAGGTGTCCGAGCTCGTGGCGACCGCGCGGGAACGGGGGGTTTTCCTCATGGAGGTGGGAACACC